GTCATTGTTTTGTATTGGACTATTTAAGTCATTGACGTATAGATTGAAAAGCATTGGACTCATAACACATCCCTGTCTTACACCTGTGATAGTTTCAAATATCGGAGATATCTTAACACCGAAACGAATGCATGCCTTTGTATTCTGGTACATATTTTGAATTAATTTGTATATATTTCCAGTAATACCATTATTTAGCAGTTTATAGAATAATCCTTCTCTCCACACTTTGTCAAACGCTTTTTTATAATCGATGAAGCAAGTATAAATTTTTTTGTTTTGTTTCAGATATTTATGAACTATTGTTTTTAAGACAAAAATGTGATCAGTTGTCCGGTACCCTTTTCTGAATCCTGCCTGATTGTTGTTTATGATATTCTTGCTTTCTATGAATAGCCTAATATTTATTATTGTGCAAAATGTTTTGCCTATACAACTTGAAACTGCGACTCCCCTGTAATTATCTGGTTCAGATCTGTCTCCTTTTTTTTATAAATATGAGAAATTATACTGATATTCCATATATCTGGGTAAATAGCAGAATGTAATATATTATTAAATAATTTTTTCAGAGGTTTAATTAAATAATCTGAGCTGTCTTTCATAATTCAGGCAATACCCATCATATCCTGCTGCCTTTCTGGGTTTAAGTTACTAATTGCTATTTTTATTTCCTTATCTGTTATTTCTTTGTTTAGTATATATAAATATATACTAAATTTACTATATATAAATATATACTAAATTTACTATATATAAATATATACTAAAAATATTAAACCATATATAAATTTGGTTGTTCAGGGTTACTTCAAAGTTAAGTTTGTGTTGTTTACTCGAATTTAGCTATTTTCACTGACTCTTCGACCGGCGTTCCACACCAGCTCGCGCGGAGCCCATAGAAATGCATGGTGGAGTGGAGCGCGTCTTAGCAACGTGGATGTGTTCAACAAATACGAATGGGGTAATAAGCTATACAATGTGATCACTGAATTCTCTACATTTTGTGTTTTTTCTTTTTGCCTACTACGTAAACATTTAATATTACAAAACATGGTTTCAGACTTTCTTCTAAGTTCTCAAGGCTTGTGGCAGACATCCGGGCATTTTCACCGCCTGCTAACCATCATGGTGGAAACAAAGACCGAAGACTCTAAGAAAACTGTACTTTCAGCTAGTTGTTGAGACTCCTCTGAACATGTGCTCGGAACGTTTCACATGTTTATTTTGTACTTTGAATTAGAATCTGAGAGCCTTTATGGGAGAACTATGATAGTTTAAACAATGTTAGGCCAGACTTTTTTTATTCCTTGTTTCTCGAGTTTTTATAAGTCAATTTTTTTGAGGAGGGCGGAAAATAAAATAAAATTAATTCTTTTTTCCATTGGATTTGTGTGATTCTCAGAGAATTGTAAGTGAGATCCGTCATTGATCGGAGAGAAGAAATGAAATAAAATGTTATTCCATGTATAACGTTGTTTCTCATCTGCGCGAGACTTCGGTACTTTGATACTCATGATACTCCCACGAAAATGCAACTTGAATTTGTTATGCGGCGGGCGGTAAAAAAATGAAGATAAAAATAATATTTTTTTAGCATTTTTTTGCGCTTACAACTTGAAATCAGCGGGCGCGAGAAATCACGCTGAAATAAAATTTTATTTTTATTTCATTTTCGGCTCCTGTTCATTCGGTGGGTTTGCGAAACAAGGGATAATAAACGTCTGGCCTTAGTTACATTTTCTCGAAGTTTGCAGACATTTTTCTCCCAAATACTGACTAGTAGCAATTTCGGCCATCTTGTTTTTATCCTGACCGCTGCCAGTGGCAGTGTAAGTGACACAGAAAGTTGTACGGTTTCATAGTGCGGTTTTAATCTGAATATATATATATATTTTCATTTCAGTGGTTATATTCATACCAAATCCTGACAATGCTGTATAAATCGGAAAAAACGTTAGGAAAAAAAAAAACATTACATAAAACTCAAATCGATGGAACGTAAATTACAAGCGCCTGCAACGTCGGCAGTATGGGTAATTTCCTTTGTTTAGAATGTTAACGGAGGGAGTTTCCTAACTGTTCTTCTAGTAACCGTATATTAACTAATAGTTTTCACAGGGAAACACATACTGTAAATGCATTAATTTTTCGCTGGGTTTTAATTTCGCTA